AGCACCTCCCTAGAGGACAGAAGTTCTCTCACTGCTGACACAGCTGATTCTCATAGCCACTTGGCCTGGAGGTCAAACCCTCCCTGGAATTAGCTACAACAATCAAGATTTAACTATAAGACTGCGAACAAAGACCACTAGGGGGTGCACCAAGGAAGCATAACAAAATGCGGAGACAAAGAAACAGGACAAAATTGTCAATGGAAGATATAGAGTTCAGAACCACACTTTTAAGGTCTCTCAAGAACTGTTTAGAAGCCGCCGATAAACTTAATGAGATCTACAAGAAAACTAATATGACCCTCGATCTTATATTGGGGAACCAACTAGAAATTAAGCATACACGGACTGAAATAACGAATATTATACAGACTCCCGACAGCAGACCAGAGGAGCGCAAGAATCAAGTCAATGATTTGAAATGCGAGGAAGCAAAAAACACCCAACCGGAAAAGCAAAATGAAAAAAGAATCCAAAAATGCGAGGATAGTGTAAGGAGCCTCTGGGACAGCTTCAAGCGTACCAACATCAGAATTATAGGGGTGCCAGAAGATGAGAGAGAGCAAGATATTGAAAACCTATTTGAAGAAATAATGACAGAAAACTTCCCCCACCTGGTGAAAGAAATGGACTTACAGGTCCAAGAAGCGCGGAGAACCCCAAACAAAAGGAATCCAAAGAGGACCACACCAAGACACATCATCATTAAAATGCCAAGAGCAAAAGATAAAGAGAGAATCTTAAAAACAGCAAGAGAAAGAAACTCAGTTACCTACAAGGGAATACCCATACGGCTGTCAGCTGATTTCTCAACAGAAACTTTGCAGGCCAGAAGGGAGTGGCAAGAAATATTCAAAGTGATGAATACCAAGAACCTACAACCAAGATTACTTTATCCAGCAAAGCTATCATTCAGAATTGAAGGTCAGATAAAGAGCTTCACAGATAAGGAAAAGCTAAAGGAGTTCATCACCACCAAACCAGGATTATATGAAATGCTGAAAGGTATCCTTTAAGAAGAGGAAGAGGAAGAAAAAGGTAAAGATACAAATTATGAACAACAAATATGCATCTATCAACAAGTGAATCTAAGAATCAAGTGAATAAATAATCTGATGAACAGAATGAACTGTTGATTACAATAGAATCAGGGACATAGAAAGGGAATGGACTGACTATTCCTGGGGGGGAAAGGGGTGTGGGAGATGCGGGAAGAGACTGGACAAAAATTGTGCACCTATGGATGAGGACAGTGGGTGGGGAGTGAGGGCGGAGGGTGGGGTGGGAACTGGGAGGAGGGGAGTTATGGGAGGGAAAAAAAGAGGAACAAATGTAATAATCTGAACAATAAAGATTTAATTAAAAAAAAAGTTTATTTCAGTTTTGTGGAATAAAATGGTTTCATAAGTAGACATTTGTTCTAATTCTTCAGAACATTTCTCCTTGAAAAATTACTTGTCCTTTTTCATATATCTGGTTGATTTTCTCTGTTTATTCATCACTGTGGAAAATGATCTTTTACTTTTGGAATTTAAGATGAATTTTGTCAGATGGAAGCATGGAACAGAGTGCCTAATCTCAGAGGAAAGGCGAAAGAGGGTAGGTGGGTTGTAGGTAATCAACCAAAGACCTTGTATGCATATATGCATAACCCATGGACACAGACAATAGGGTACTGAAGGCCTGGGGGTCAGGAGGGGGCGGGCTGGAGGGGGTCAATGGGGGAAAGATGGGGGCCTATGTAATACTTTCAACAATAAAGAATTATTTTTTTAAAAAGATGAATTTTGTCAGATTTGTCTTCTAGTTCAAGACTAAGATTAGTCTTTATATTTTCTATAGTTTTATTTATCACTTCCCTTTTCTTTCTTCGTACCCATCTCCAGATAAGGAGAATAGTCTTTATGAAGAATTGAAAGGGTGTGCTAGCCAAAGTCAGTACAAGGAAGAGAACCTGGCTACTGTGCTGAAAGGTTTCTTATCTACATTTGTTGTAGCTGTTTGAAATTTCCCAGAGCACTGCCACTCTTCTCTAATTGGCACAAAGTTAGGGTCTTCATTTGGAGCCTGATGCTGAGGGAACAGAAAACCGTATCATGTGAAGTCGTTATTTGGTCTAGAATGGAGATTTATATGAGACATAATAACTGTTTTTTTTAATTTATTTTTTATTGTTGACATTATCACAGATGTCCCCCTAGATCAGCCGTGGGCAAACTATGGCACGCGGGCCGGATGCGGCCCGTTTGAAATGAATACAACTAAAAAAAAAAAAAAAAAGACCGTACCCGTTTATGTAATGATGTTGACTTTGAATTTATATTAGTTCACACAAACACTCCATCCATGCTTTTGTTCCGGCCCTCCGGTCCAGTTTAAGAACCCATTGTGGCCCTCGAGTCAAAAAGTTTGCCCACCCCTGCCCTAGTTGAAGGGCTGTCACAAGAAGGATTAGCTTATTTTGGGTAGTCCCAAGTGGTAGAATTATGTTAGAAGAATTATGTTAGAATGTCTTACATTCAAGGAAGAAGGATTGCTATAACTGACAGCTGCTGATTTAAATATTTATTAACTCCAATTTTCAACCATTCATTCAGGTATTACCCACACTTTTAGGTGTTTCCATTTGATAACAACCTGCTGCATGGGTGGCCAAGTGCCTATGTGAAGTACTGGCAGGAGGCTACACAAGCACTGACTTTGTCATTTGTTCACAGAGGCATCATTCTCAGAGAATTGCTGATTTCCATTTCTACTTTCTTCTTTTTTTGTAATTGACCTCAATTTCTTGATATTTAAAGAAATCATTAACCTTCATCCGCATGAATTCTCCTCTTTCCTTTCTTAATGACATTTCTTTGGAAAATGTAGTAGACAGAATAAAATGTCCACATCTTCTGTGAATACAGGAGTGGCCAAAAATAGGTTTACAGTTGTTCATATGGAAAATAATACAATAATTAATAAATAATAATGTAAGAATAAACTTTGTGTTTTGCATACTCACAAAGGGAAATTAAGTAGACTATGGAATTACGATTGTAATCAACTGAATTTAAGATGGTGATTACCCTTGATTATCCAAGTGGGCCCAATGTAATTACAAGAGTCCTTAATTGTGGAAGAGGAAGTCAGAAAATGATGTAGTGTGAGTAAGACTCAGCTGGCCATTGCTGGCTTTGAAGATGGAAGGGACCCCAAACCAAGGAGTGCAGGAATCCTTTAGAAGGTAGACAAAGGATTCTTCATTTAGACCCTCTAGAAAAAAACGTAGCCCTGCTAACACCTTGATTTTTTTTAACCCAGTGAGTACTATTTTGACCTTCTGAACTCCAGATCTGTAAGATAATGGATTTGTGTTATTTTCAGCCACTAAGTGTGTAATAATTTATTACAGCAGTAATAGAAAACGAAGGCAATTTCTGAGAATATCCAAGGCCATATCCTAGGAACAATAGGAACAGCTTTTTGGTATTTCAGTTATTTAAAAGCTTAATATATCTATTGCTGAATCAATGTATGCAACCATCTTCTAATAATCATTCATGTATGCTAATATACATCCACTTCTCCAAAGCTTCTTATTGACCTACTTTGTAGTCAACTAGGCTCTAGTCCAGCCGTGGGCAAACTATGGCATGCGGGCCGGATCCGGCCGTTTGAAATGAATAAAACTAAAAAAAAAAAAGACCGTACTCTTTTATTTAATGATGTTTACTTTGAATTTATATTAGTTCACATAAACACTCCATCCATGCTTTTGTTCCGGCCCTCTGGTCCAGTTTAAGAACCCATTGTGGCCCTCGAGTCAAAAAGTTTGCCCACCCCTGCTCTAGTCAATAAGAGTAGCCTAAATAAAAGGAATCCCAATGAAGTAAGTGAAACTTACAGGGAGGATTTTTTTTTACTCAATATAAGGAAGATTTTTCTGTTAAAACTATTCAAGGAGAGGAGAGATTGGGCTGTATTTGGAGGTTTTATGGCAGGAACTGAACAACTACTTGGTAGAGACATTAAAAAGAGGGTTCAGGCATTGGTTGAGCTGTTGGACAAATATAGATCTTATTGTTTTCAAACTCTAAGACCCCAAGGGATTGTGAGGAAGAAGCATCATGGAGGGTTGAGTAGGACCCCTGTGTACACTGCAAATTGTGGCTATACGTTGCCTTTAGTGAAGGCAAAAGCAGACAATGGAATCCAGCTATATTCTTGTTTGCCAAGCTGTGCATTCTGGCTGTGGGGCTGCTATGCCCTGAGGCAGGGGTACCTTTTGCTAATTCATATAAAGGTATTATCTACTTGATAAGATGTATGCCTTCAGGGCTGAATTCACCCAAAGAAGTTACCTTTTTTCTAATTTTTATAAAGATGCTATATAGATGCGAACACTAACTCTGGGACTACTTTTATAGGAGATGGTTTTTTGGAATTGGTGAGGGCAGGATAAATAAAAGAAGGGAGATTAATTCTTTAATTTCATTCTGGCTTCTTCAGCCCCTCAGCTCACTTCCAAATGGTGCTATTGGTACTTGCTCCCAATCTATACATCTAATAGGTAATAATGGATGAATAAACTAATAAATAAAACAAGTCTCTGTTTCAGAGCTAAATAAACATGATTTCTTCTGGGAATTCACTGTACAAGGTGGTAGCAAATAGGGAACGCAAGAATATCAAGTATGTATTTGGAGATCAAGGAGAGAGGTCTGTTCACTCAGGGTGTTCCTAGAGAAGGCAGAACCTCTCTCTGACTTACAAGACTGGTTACCTACCCAAAGTTAGGGATAGATAATGCCAGCGTTCTCAGAGTCACAGGAGATATATATATATAGTCAGGCACCTACCTGAACTAGTTCCCATATTCATAGTTGAATCTCAGCTGGCCAGGTCTGGTAGCTCTACTGTGCTCAATGCCACAGACCAGGTAGTTAGATTTATGTGAATATGATTTTGGAGCTGGACAATATGCAGATTTTTTCCCTGTTTATGTATTCCTCCAGGTTAACTGTAATCTGAATCATGAGTCTCTCTACTTGGCAGTGAAGCTGGTGGATCACTACCTTATGAAGAAAAAATGCAAGGAAGAGAATCTGCAACTCCTTGGTGCCACTGCTTTTCTGATTGCAGCAAAACTTGAGGTTGAGTCCATAGGACCTGGAGAGAACTAATCAATCAGATTTCTATCCAAGTCATATGTATCCACATGTCTATATATGTGTGTATATGTGTATGTGTATATATATTTGTACCTATGTCTGTATGAAAATAATATTTCTTACTAATTTTTTAATCTATCTTCCCCAGCAGCGAAGCTGGTTTTAGGTGGCAGTGGTGGTGTATTTGTTTTCTGGAATCAACAAGATTCTTCCATTTTCTCTAATATATACATATGTGGGTGTGTGCCTATTTAATGGGTTGTTAGATTCTCTGCGCCCCACCCCCCTTTTCGTCTTCCCACCACCAACTCCATCTCTTTCAAGTGGAGTCTTGAATTGTATATATAAGAAAGAATTTCCAAACCTGGGTGCTGGAGACATTTAAGAGAAAATGGCCTGGTAGTGAGTCTAAGTGAAATAGTTATTTTTGAAGTGGTAGTATAAAAGCAAGTAGCTGCGCTTTCCTTTATAATCATAATTATAAAGGAAATTATAATTTCTCTGATTCTTTCCTCTTCTTTAGATTTTAAATGATCTCGTACAATTCCCATTTTTCCTTCAGATAGGCTAGTTGTATGAAACCTTAGGGTTTAGGAGCAGAAAGATAGTAGCTACTTTTACTGAGTTCAAAGAGGTTTAGAACTGTGTTTATTTTTGTGTTCCTCTGCCAGCTCCCTCCCTCTACAGCTCTATCTCTAGTTCACTTCCTGCCTTCCTTCCTCCTTTGCTCACTCACTTCCTACCTAGTCCTTCAGTACCTCCCTCCCAAACTCCAACCCTCTCTTTTTTGCTCTTTACTTCCCTCCTTCTCTCCCTCCCTCTCTTGCTGTCCTTGCCCTCATCTCACTTCTGTGCTCTATCACTTAAGCCCTAACTTCACTATGTCCTCACTTTCTAACAATCTTTCTCCAGTCTTCTCTTAATCCATCCCTCGATTTTACCGTCCCTACTTTGTGTATTCACTCAATCCATACTGGCTCCTCCCTCTGGCTTTTTCCTTTCCTTTCTGGCTCCCTCTCTTTCTCACTCCCTTACCTGTTCACTTACTTCCTTGTTCCACTCCCTACTCCACCCGTCCTTAATTCACTGGTTCCCTTCCTCCTTCCCTTCCTCCCACCTTTGTAACCCTCATTCCTCTGTCTCCCTCCCTGCCACTTTCCTACCCTCACACCCTTCCTTCCCCAGGTCCTATTCCATCCTCCTCCCTTCCTCCTCCTCTCCTCCCCCTCTCCTCCCCTTCTCTTGCAAACTCTCTCTGCTCTATCTCATCCTCTCTCCTCTCCCTTAACTTGTCCCTACCTCCCCCACCTTACTTCCCTTGTGCCTTGCTCCTACCCTCTCCTTGGCTTCCCCCTACCCTACTTCCTCCACCCTTTTTTTTGCTAATTTGTTCTCTCCTCTCCTCTCTTGCTCCTTCCTTCCTTCCTTCCCTACCTACCACCCTCACTCCCTAGTCTCCTTCTTTTCTTGCTTCCTCTCTCTCTTCCCCCTCCCTTGTTCTCTGCTTCATTGTTTCCCTCTCTGGCTCATTTCCTTCCCTATCCACCTACTCTCTGGTTCCCTTGCTCCCCCTCCTCCATGCTTCCTCTCTGCTCCTTCTCCAATAGCTTCCTCTCTTTCTTGCTTCCTTGCTAATTCTCCCCGACTCACTCTTACTTGCTCCCTTCCATTATCCTTTCCTCCTTTGCTCCCTAGTCTCATTTTCCCCTTTCTCCCTCTCTCCCCTCCTCTTCTCTCATGCCCTCCCTTACTGCTTTCCTTTCTGGCTCATTTCCTCCACTGCTAGCTTACAATTTCCCTGGCTCTTTCCCTTGTCCCACCTCCTCCTCTCTTCCCCCTTTCCCTTTCCCCACCTAGGGCCATTTTTATGGCTTGAGTAAAAATGCTGGCCTCTCTCCCACTGCCTGTTACCCCAGCGATGCCCCCTTAAAAAAGCAGCTGGGGCCCTGGCCCGTTTGGCTCAATGGATAGAGCATCGTTGGCCTGCAGACTAAAAGGTCCTGGGTTCCTGTGGGAGGCAGCCCATCAATGGTTCTCTCTCATCATTGATATCTCTCTCTCTCTCTCTCTCTCTCTCTCTCTCTCTCTCTCTCTCTCTCTCTCTTCCCCTTCCTCTCTGAAATCAATAAAAAACAAATTTTTCAAAAAGCAGTGTGGGTCCCTAGACAGCAGGAGGGAGGAAGAGAGTGAGAGGGGGCTGTTCTCAGCAAACCTTGGAACCAGGAGCATGTCTCTTTTGTTTGCCAGGACAAAGGGCCCCCCACTAAGTTTTTTGTTGTTGTTGAAGGAGGTCTTCCCCTCACAGGATTTATAAGTACAGAAAGACTTTTGCAAGGGGAGGTGTGGAGATGGTATGAGAAGAGAAGAAAGGAACCAGTGGTGAGTAGAGAAATGGAAGAGAGTGTCTTGCCCTGGTCTTAACCACTAGGTTGCTTTGTGAACTTGAGCAAGTTATTTCTTCTCTCTGGGCCCCAATTTCCTGTCTGAAAAACCAGAGGGTTAATCCAGTTTGTGATCTGAAACTAGAGAGACAGAGAAAAGTTTGAATTAAAGGCTGGGGTAGGCAGGTGGATGCTTCTAGAGCAGTGGTTCTCAACCTTCCTAATGCCGTGACCCGTTAATACAGTTCCTCATGTTGTGGTGACCCCCAATTTCATTGTTACAAATTGAACATAATTAAAGCATAGTGATTCATCACAAAAACAATATGTAATTATATATGTATTGACCCACAGGTTGAGAACGGCTGTTCTAGAGAGAAAATTCAGTGGTCTTTCTGCCTCCAGTCCTCTCCCCATAATCAAGGTTCAGTCTGCAGAGGGTGGGGCGTGGGAAGGTACTCCCAGATAGGGTTCTTCTCACCCTTGGGCTGGCCTGGATCCCCCCAGTCTGACCCCCATGCACATCCCCCCACCCCCTGTAGTCTTCAGTCTCAGCTTAGGCTCCCTCTGTGCCTGCCTCTCTCTCACTGCCTGTTACTCCAGTGGTGCCCCTTCCCAAACATCCTTATTTATTCCTTAGACTAGGACACATAGTGAGGACTTACCTTCCATCTCTAACTCCCCTTTTTGTGGCCTCTTCTTCCCTTCCCCCAGAGTAGGCCTTAGATTTCCCATTCCTGGCTCTCACCCATTAAAAGAGAGACCACTGATCCCAGCCCTTGTGCCCTATTATGTGCTTCCAACACTGTAAGAATACATCCCCAGAGGCCCTATCCTTTTTCTAGTGGTGCAGTTTTGAAGCAGATCTCTCCTGTATTTCTGATTTTGTGTTTCAGATGGGCCACTCAAATCAACCAGAAGCTGGCTCTCAGAGCTAACCTAAAGGTTTATTCCAGGAAATGTTATTACCTGCTATCCTTCAACCCCTTCCCCTCTGCTTTTCATCTCCAAGTGGGCTGTCTTGGCCTGGTGTGACTGTCTCTTCTCTCCACCTGTAGGAGACCGGCCCACCTAAGTTGGATCGATTCCTGCAGTCCCGTAGAGAGGGTTTTCAGCGACATGAGATGGTTGCCATGGAAATCAGCATTTTGAGTACCCTCAAATTTGAAATCAACATTCCTGTCGCCTATCATTTTCTGCGCATATTTTCTATGGTAAGAGAGAGAAGGCATATCCCCCTTCTTGCTAGGTTTGTCTCTTCCATACCAAGAGTGACTGCTTGAGTGGTAGGTAAAGGGAAAGAGACAATTGGGGACAGAGAAATTTCTTCTTCAATCTGACTCTCCTAGATTAGCAATCTTTATGAAGTGTAGGAGGAAGAAAATTGGAGGTTTGTATAGTATGCCTGTAAAGTTTTGAGGTGAGGGCAGAGTAGGGGAAGGAGATAAAATTGTTTTATGAGGAAAGGACACAAGAACTTTGGGGGAGATGCTGCAAAGTTCTCTTTCTTCACCTGAATATTGGTTACAGGGGAGGTCACTTCATAATTATTCATTGAATTCTACAAGTGTACCTTCTCTCTCTCTCTCTCTCTCTCTCTCTCTCTCTCTCTCTCTCTCTCTCTCTCTCTGTAATGTGTAATAGGCTATAATAAAAAAAAGATACAAACAAGAAAGGGGAGAGAGTTATTATGGAGCATGGAACACATCCTAGGGTAGAACCAGCTGCAAAGTTATAGTTGGAAAGCTTTGGCCCTTCAAACGATGACTTGTACATAAAGAGTAGATGAAAAGGTACCACAAATACATTTGGTAATTTGGTTACAAACCATGAAGGTAGTGAATTCTAATGCTGATTTCAGAATTGCCTCCCTTCCCCCTGCTTAAGATTCTGTGCTTTCAAGGGTAGAGTGCCTTGGTGTGAACCATGATGGTAGGAGAAGTACATTGTTCAGGCAGAGAGCCAATTAGGCCTGAGGTGAGATAACTGGAGAGAGTAGGTGAAGGGGGTCTTCTGCTTAGTTCTGGTTTTCTACATTGCTTGCTGAAATGGTCTTTTTGCTCTCTTTAGAATATTCATGTCAACATTAGAACAGTGGTCTTATCTCGATTCATCTGTGAGTTGACCCTGCATGAATATGACTTCATCCAGGAAAAGGGTTCCAATCTAGCTGCTGCTTCCTTTCTTTTGGCCCTCCACATGACGAAGCTTGGATACTTGGTAAACACTGGCTAGGGGCATGGGGTTGGGATTCAGAAGCACAGGGTTGGCTGAGAAGGAAGGTGTAAATTAAGGCTGTGGGACATTTAGTGCCAAAACTGCCATATACCCACAGTTATGAATTCTTTGACACCTCAACATTAGGGTCCTGGCTGCCTAAAGTGTTTCTATAGCAATTGTTGTGAAGTATTTGGTACCATTTTTCTTAGTCACAGTATGCTTTGTTCCAAGGAAAGCTTATCTGAAAGCCCGATATCACAAAACAAACTAATGTGAAATTATTCTGGTTGCAGCAGGGCTGGGTTGGGCCCACTTCCTACCTGACCCCATTTCACTTCTGCCCCTTGTAGTCCCTTCAGCAAGGTTACCCCCTGAGGGAGCTTGTTAGAATGGAATTTGAAGCACTGACCCAGAGAACAGAGTAGTGAAAGTAACTGTCCATGTGTAATAGGGGACTTACAGGTATACTATAGTGTTGTTATTTTCTAAAGAGGAAGGCCCCAGAACCTCCTTCCCTAATAGAAATAAAACTCATGTTTGATGCTTTCTAAATTTTATGAAAAATTATGAATATCAACTTCAGAGAACTATGAATTTTTACTGATATGTAACATACAATCCAAATAGAAAGAGTATGCTAACAAATGTGCATGCTCTTCCCAATCATCCCTGAGCCCCTCCAACTTAGAAATCCCAGAGCCACTACTGATGGGAAAGCTTCTGTGTACTGAGAAAGAACTCTATAAACAGTTGTGTTTATATAAGTTGAGTGCTTGGTGATCTGAGCACTTTGTATGAACTCATTTAATCTTTACAGTAACCCCACAAGATCAGTATTATCCCTATTTTATAGATAAGAAATACATTCCCATGTTTTGCTAGGGAGAGGCAGAACTAGGAGTGGTATACAACCAGTACTGCATAATCAGAATGGGTGTGGCCATAGCTCTGGAGCCATGGTCCTAGAGGCCCCATTCCGAGCCAGGCTCTGACCCATGGATCCTTGGTAAATCTGGTAGGTACTTGAGAGGGGCAATTGAGTGGCTCAGGGCAACAAATTTCTTGCCAACCAGTATAGAAATATTTTCAATGTTTAAACACATGGCATGCTTGTATCAGTGAGTATCAGCTAAATGTCAACCCCGATCTGAATCCTGGTAGTCTGGATTCCACAATCCTCTATGCTATATATCCTGCTTCTATAGGTAAGAAAGGTTTCACAAAGAAGTTGACTTTTGAATTGGCTCTTGAAAGGAACCCGTGAGAGGAGACATTCTAGGTAGAGTGAACAATAATTGAAAAGACGTGAAGGCAACAATTAAAGGGTGTAATGTATAGGGAGCAGAATAATGCATTTCCTGTGGATAGAGCAAAGGCTTTATGAATTAGGGAATGGTAAGAGATGAGACCAGAATGGTAGGATATGTTCAGATTTTAAAAGACCTTTGATATCATGTTGAGAGATCCATTTTATACTAAGGTACTGGAAGTTTTTGAGGCAGGGGTGTTCCTGTTTGTGTGTTTTGGAAATAGTACTGGTAGAGCAGTATAGAAGGTTTACCAGGTGATAGTGTAAGAGTGGCAACACTGGCAAGTCAGCTTTTGTAATAGTCAAGGTGAAGCTTTTGGGCCTGAACTGGTGCAGTGACAATGGGGCCACTAATCTTATTTAACACACTAAATATAATGTGTTACCACATGTTACTCCCCTGTTCCGCATGCTAATGACTGCCCTTTGCCTGTGGCAGTGGTTTTCAAACAGTATTCAGTAGAGCCCTGGGATTCTTGTAGAAGTGTCTCCGGGGCCATATAAAGATAAGGGGATTCAAATTAGTGGGCTTCTTAGCCTTTGCCTCCAATTCCAGGTAAGATGTTTGGGCTTCCAGGTAAGATATTTTTTAAAAGGGGGTTTGGGGAAATAATTTAAGATACTTTTATTTTTTAAAAATTTTTTTTATTACTTTCAGAGAGGAAGGGAAAGGGATAGATAGAAACATCAATGATGAGAGAGAGAATCATTGATAAGCTGCCTCCAGCATGTCCCACACTGGGGATCAAGCCCTCAACCCAGGCATGTGCCCCAACTGGGAATTGAACCATGACCCCCCCGGTTCACAGGTTGAGGCTCAACCACTGAGACATGCCAGCCGGGCTAATTTAAGATATTTTTAGAAAATCACTGTATTATAGAATAAATCTTCCTTTCTCTACCTGTGGAGCTCCTACTTGACTTTCAACACTCATTATAGATGTCCCCTCCTCTATGAAGCTTTCTGTTACTCTCCTAGCCAGAGTTCATGGGTCTTGTTGCCCTTTGCCTCCAGCGCCCTATGTTCACTTCCATCATAGCACTTTCCACACATTTTGTAATTCTTTCTGTGCATGCCTGTCTAATATTAATCCTAGGTAGCATTATTTAGGCACTTACTATATGCTAGACTGTTACATGTGCTTTGTATATATTAACTCATTTAATCATGCAATGTAATTACTATAATGATCCCCATTGGTAAAATGAGGCACCAAGAGGTTAAATAACCAATTTAAGGCCAGACTATTAGTTAAAATAGATTTTGAACCCCAGTAGTTTGCCTCCAGAACATTTGCTCTTAAATACGTTGCTATATTGCTTCTGCCACATAGTAGGCATCCTTCAAATTGAATGAGAAAATGAATGCATGGAATGATAGCTGGTAGATCCAGAGACAAGGAACAGCCTTAAGTTTCTGTTGGCTGTTGAGTTGGGACCTCAAGTTTGTTCTGAGGTTTGCCTGTCCATTGGTTCTTGATCTGAAAGTGAGTAAATTACAAAGTCAGTCATGTTCCTTGGATTTTTTTGGTAGTGGATTTCAGCATACCTGAATATCTATGGCCAGGGCTAATATCCAACTGGTACATATGAATATAGCCATACCACTAGTTTGTGGCTGGAACCTATTCTCCTGTAATAATTGGTCAGTGTCTATGACGTATGAGTCTTTCACTCTCTTCCCTTTCTATACCATGGATAGGAAGTTTGGATTTGGGATAGTAGACACAGAGGAAGGGTCTGCTTCCTGTCATAAAAGTCACTGTTTATGTTGCTTCTTTCAGACTCATTTCCTGAATTATTACTTTGACTTCGTGATCTCTGATCTTTACCTCTTGGTCAAAAAACTTAACACGCTGCTGACTTTGTATCCTTGCAATGATAGGCTCAAGACTGTGTGTTTCAAGTATTCTCACCCGTAAGTACCAAGCTCCAGATGAGGTTGGGTTTGTGCTCAGTCATGGGGAGGCCCAGACTATCCTTGCCTAAGGAAAAAGAAAGATTGAGGTACTTTTTACCTTACTTTCTGCTCCAGGGTTAAAGCAAGATAGGGAACCAAGGGCCCTATCTCCCACTTATTCCATGAAGCCTGCTTGCTTTGGCTATTTTATACTGAGCAGATGTCTCTTCCTTTTGCAGGAACTTTTATGAAGTCACCAAAATCCCCCCCTTGGACAAGTTGAAGCTGGAGGAAATTTTGCACTCCCGCTAATTCTGAAATGAGGGCCTAGAACTCTGGCAGCATATAAACCAGGCTATATTTATTCTGTCTTTGAAAAATTTTTTTTGATCACTTTTCTTCATTTTTACCCTGTTTGTCTTTTCCAAAACTGAATGTTATAAATGTTTAAGTGTTTAAGTTTTTTTATGTAAGAGAAAAAAGTATTGTAGTATTTATTTAGAAATATAATAAAAAATTAATATTTGTTGCTAAAATGGCTCACCTTCCCTTTTTTATGTAAAAAAAAAATAAAAAATTGAATTGAATTTATTAGGGCAATATTGGTTAATAAAATTCTATAGGTTTCAGGTATACAATTCTACAATACATCATCTGTATATTGTGTTGTGTGTTTACCACACCAAGTCAAGTCTCCTTCCATCACCATTTATCCCCCATTTACCCTTTTCTACCTCTCCCCATCCCCCCATTTGGCAAACACCATACTGTTGTCTGTGTCCATGAGTTTCTTTATTTCCTTTGCTTAATCCCTTCACCTTTCTTACCCAGTCCCCAACCCGCTTCCCTCTGACAGCTGTCAGTCTGTTCTCTATATACTATTGCATAGCCCAAGGATTCCACCCCCTCTGTCTAGTAAAGGTTGTGCCTCAGAGTCTAGCTTATCCAATTTCTTCCTCTGTTGGAGTCTGTCACTTCAGGGGTGTAGGAATTGAGTTGATTTAGGTGTGAATTGATGGATGTGCCTGTAGAAGGAGGATCATTGGAGTGGTGCTGGGGTTGGGTGGTAGTGCCCAGTCTAAGGAGGGAGAACTTTACTTGACAGACAGGCCTCAGTGTTCAGATCTGGACCAATACCCTTTGGTCCATATCTTATGTCGTTTGTTTTCTTTCCTTCTTCCTAGACGATGAAAAGGCAGGGATCAGGATTTTCACCCAAAGACAGCCCTATTTTCATAGTTCGGCAGTTTTCTAGAGTTTAAATCAAATAAAAAAAACTGCTTGGAGTGACATGCTGAAATCTTATGGCCTTTATCTTCTGTCAAGAGGAGAAATTTCTGTCCTGGCCAGGTGGCTCGGTTGGTTGGAATGTTGTCCCATATAACAAAAGGTTGTGGGTTGATTCCTGATTGGGGCATGTACCTTGGTTATGGATTTGATCCCCAGTCAGGGTGCAATGGGAAGCAATGAATCAATGTTTCTCTCTAAAAATCAATACATATCCTCAGGTGAGATCGATCTATCTCTATCTATCTATCTATATCTCTATCTATCTATCTATCTATCTATCTATCTATCTATCATCTATCTATCTATATCTAGTCTTTGGGGTGATGTGTACTGGTACAGCTATCTCATTTGTTCACAGAGGATTTGAACATCCTGTTCCAGTTGATAGAGAAACACTGCCTCTAGGACCTCTGGGTCTGTCCCACAATCTAGCCACTGAAACAAGTAATGTCTGTCACAGCAGAAGACCACTAGAGCTGGCAACTGTTCTGATTGGTCTAATCAGAACATTTCTAATCCAAGGTCATGAAGATTTACTCCCATTTTTTTTTTTTTGTCTAGTAGTTTTATACGTTTAGCTCTTACATTTTGGCCTTAAATCTATTTTGAATTAATTTTTATATATGGTGTGACATAGTGGTCCAACTTCATTTTCTTGCATGTAGATAGATATCCAGTTGCCCCACCACCATTTGTTGAAAAAGATCTTAGTGCCCTTATTGAAAATTAATTGACTGTAAATTTGAGAGCTCATTTCTGGACTCTCAATTGTATCCCATTTACCCATATACCTATCCTTATGCCTGTAACACACCACTTTGATTACTGTAGCTTTGTAGTCAATTTTGAAATCAGGAAATGTACGTTCTCCAACTTCCTCCTTTTCAAGATTGTTTTGGTTATTCTGGGTCCCTCACATTTCTATGTGATTTTTTTTTTTTTTTTTTTTAGCATCAGCTTGTCAATTTCTGAAGAGAAAGCTAGGATTTTGAAAGAGATTGCATTGAATTTATAGATCAATTTGGAGATCATTGCCATCTTAACCATATTAAATATTCTAATCATGTGTTTTGTACCAGTCTCAGCCTATCAATAACCAATGTTGTGGCTGGACTGACCTTTGTGTTTCTTATTATGATCGAGAGACACTCTCAGCAATAACCAATAGGAAATTTTGAAAGAGTTAAGATTTATTATTTAGAGGTCCTGGAAATTACACAGCACATCTGGTTCCAGACTAAACGCTTAGTCACACACACACACACACACACACACACCAGACAGACCTGACAAATACCGCAAAGGCTTTAAAAACTGAACTGACATTGAGCCTTCAGCCCACAGAAAGCTGGTGAGAATCTGTGGCCTGAAAATCAGATTGATCGCTAAAGTAAAAATGTAAATGTTTTCTATACAATTTATGTAAGCAATTTCATAATGTCATATTCAAAATGTCTAGGATATCAACCATATTTACAGTTTAAAGAAGAAATATCACTTATTAATTGATGCAGTAAAATCATTTGACAAAATTCAGCATTCATCCATGACAAAAATGATCAACAAACTAAAAATAGAGACTTCCTCAACCTGATAAAGGCTGTCACCAAAAATTTTCATGTAACATCATATTTAATGGTGAAAGACTGAATACTTTCCCATAAGATTAGGAACAAAGCAAGGATGTCTACTTTCATCAGACCTATTAACATTTTACTAGAAGTTGCAATTAGACAAGAAAAAGAAATAGAATACAGATTGCAAAGGAGGAAATGAAATTGACTTTTTTTTGGAGATGGCATAATTATATGTGTAGAAAATCTCAAAGAATCCACAAAAAACCCTCCTAGAACTAATATTTTTGTTCAGCAAGGTCACAGAACACAAGGTCAACACAAAAAAAATCAAGCACATTTCTCTATCCTGGTAATGCACAAGGAAATTCAGATAGCCACATAGTATCCCATTGTGTAGATGTACCACAGCGTTTTGTATCCACTCATCTACTGATGGGCACTTGGGCTGTTTTGAGATCTTAACTTTTATTAAAAAACACTGCTATGAAATATGGATGCATATATTCTTTCTGATTGGTGTTTCAGGATTCTTAGTATATATTCCCAGAAGTGTGATCGTTGGGTCAAAGGGCAGTTCCATTTTTTTGTTTTTGAGGAAACTCCATACTGTTTTCCATAGTAGCTGCACCAGTCTGCATTCCCACCAGCAGTGTAGTAGGGTTAACTTTTCTCCACATCCTTGCCAGTGTGGCGAGCTGGCACGGCCATGGCATACTCAGCCCCAGGACGCCTTACGTGCCATGCCAGCTCAGCCTGGTTCAGTGACCCAAGTGGGGGCGGCTGAAAGGCTTAGAAAAGACAGACAAGAGAATGAAAGCTGGGTCTCAGTGGGACGCTGCTCCTCTGATGGAGAGACAGTGCCAACGCCCACAGGCCGTGTCTTTATTTTATAGCAGATGCCACGGGGCAAAGTAAGGGTGTAATCAAGTTGTTTACAACATTCTCGTGAGTTTCAATGCTACTCAACTACATGTACCTGAACTCTATCTAAAGCCCACATCACTCAGGCATGTGGGGCCACGTGTTCAGACCATAGGTTCAAGCTTACAACTATAGCTGTTGGCTATAATTGTGCTGGGAGGGCTCTGCCCTCCAAGCTGGGACTTGCACATGGCAATGAGAGGACTGTGCGCTCTCCTCAGTCCAAGGCTTGAACCTGTGCAAAACACTGTATCCCCCTTTTCTTTTGTTTTTAAACACTTCTATTTACATTATCAAAAAACTCTAAACAAATTATTCAGCAACATCAAAACAGACTTCTGGCTATTAACAAAGCAATACCAATGCAAAACAAAACTACAAACATGTTAACATTTTCAGGATATCTTACTCAGAGTCCTTAGATTTAGCTCCGCAAGATTTTACAGAAAACTGACAGTTCACCAACGCTAGCATAGCTTCCACTTGCTTTGCTAACATATGCTTGGCCTCAGTCGCCATCTTCTTCAGCTGACTCCATGTTGATACCTCGGCCACTTACGTAGTAAGATGCCAGTGATGCAAAGATGTTGTTGATGCAAAACTGGCCCCCTGGATTAGGCTGTTTGGAAGGTTGGCCTTGGTTCTGAGTCGGCACCAGTCCCAGTCAAATCAGCCTCGTCCACACAGGTGGAAATTTGGTCCCTTCAGCCACTGCTGCATGGAGTAAGAGAGCACCCCTGGGGCCTGCAGGGCTGGAGACCTCCAACTCTGAGTCTGGCATCTCACACAGACCCAAAGTCCCAGGGAGCTATCAGGTCACACAAGAAAGAAATAACCAAAGCCCAGAAACAATGCAACTGCTGCAAGAGCTTACAATCTAGGTCAGAAATAAAAGTTACTTCCTCAAACATCAACCACAGCCATTTGTTGCTTTACAGTGGCTTAAACCAGTGGTTCTCAACCTTCTGGCCCTTTAAATACAGTTCCTCATGTTGTGACCCAACCATAAAATTATTTTCATTGCTACTTCATAACTGTAATGTTGCTACTGTTATGAATCGTCATGTAAGTATCTGATATGCAGGATGGTCTTAGGCGACCCCTGTGAAAGGGTCATTCTACTGTCAAAGGGGTCACGACCCACACAGGTTGAGAACTGCTGGCTTAAACAAAACCTAGGAGATTTCTACCTTATTTTGTATCTCCTATTTACTTCTTATTTTCTACGGCTTATTTCTGTTTCTACTGCTTATTTCTACCGCTTATTTTCTACCACTTATTTCCCACCGCTTATTTCCTACCGCTTATTTTCTAACGTCTACCACTTACTTTCTATTGCTTATTTCTTTCCGCCTATTTTCTAACGTCTACCGCTTATTTTCTGCTTATTTTCCTTAAATGACAATTATGCTTTACAGATCTGTTTTTAATTTTATAAAAATGCTTCAATAAGCATTGTTTTTAGGAATCCCTTCCTAGGATCCTGACTTTCCCAAGTTTTACAGCGAGCTATTACCACACCTCGGCTCCCTACCTTCCTTTCTCCGCGTGCATGCCTTGGAGTCTCCTTTCACCTAACAATTGTAGTTTCCCCAAACTCAGGACCTGTTCCTCATAACTCAGTCCCTGGTCCCAGAACTCAGTCCCTGGTCCCAGAATTCAGTCCCCATTCAGGCGCCATATGTGGTGAGCCGGCATGGCCATGGCATACTC